TCCTCCCTTTTTACGATAAGGCTTAGTCCCTAATAATAGGTTCACGACTTCTTCAGTTTTTCCTGAATTGGTACGACTACTTATTAGTAATGTAAAGGCCCATTGAGGAGTCGAATTCAATCCGTTAAACCTCTTTACATCTTTAATCTCATCAATATGGAGAATGATTTTTTCTGTTGGATCAAGCTTTTTTATTTTCATATCGAACTATCTATTACTAATGATATACTAAAATAATCTTGCAAATTTCAGCCGGGGGCTTCCGGTCAAAATTACCAAAAAATATGTAGCTGATCGTTACCAATGGTAAACGGTTTTTGCCAAGAAAAATTTTAAGAAAATATCACTCTCTGGCCTAGCTTCGAAAATTACTTAAGAATCCTTTCTCGATTAGTGTATGCTTAACGTAAGGAAAAAGGTCACATGTATAAGGCACTTCGATAAGACATATACCCTATTCCTTGCATATATCCTGCTTCTTCTGATCACGCATCTGTTGTGTTTTTAAATTTTCATTCTCCCGATGATATAAACTATTATGATGATAGTGCTGGGATCCTTGATATTTGAACACTAGTCGCAATTCTTCATTATACCCATCCAAGTGTAATCCATCTAAAAACTTAGCCATACATGGTGGGAATTTCTTGCCTAGCAGATCCTCAAAAATATATCGGCATTTACGCTCTTGAGTATGATGACAAAGAGGACACCATTCGAATTTTTTCATGATATACTTTAATGGATACTCCCATTGATGCGCACCATTTTCACAAGACCAAAGATATACATCATGACCATTTATTTGTCCGGTCTTTCTAAGACATTAACCACCACGCTTTATGGCATATTGTTCAGCCTGAGCTAATATACTATTGGAAGCGTGAACAAAATGAATATATCCAGTATTGGCCGAAGGCGCTAATGCATAATATTTCTGCATAAATTCATCAGGAGGATATTTGATTTTATTGGGTTCCTCAATCACTTGGAGTTCCTCATATTTAAAGGGTCATTTGGGATTTCGTCCCATCAGATGAGCAGTTAATTCTATAGGTTCATTCTCAAGATAATATAAGACCGGTTGTGGTGGATTTCTTCTAATAACGACTCTTTTAATCTTGAAGACACGCAAGCTCCAGTATGGGTCAGTTGCTTTATGTCTGTGATCACCTTCTAGTTCACCAGGTTTCAATAGATATCTAATAGCTGTGCCCCTTTTTAACTTAACTTCCTCATACTTCCCAATCGGTCTCCTTGCCTTTTTCGAAGGTTTTGATTCAACTTCTTCCAAAGTCATAGCATGAGCTGGTGTCATTCCGATCAGGCAAGTCTTACTATTATTCAGATAATCAATATACTTCTTAAGGATTCTCTTAAATATCCTTGATCGTTCTCCTTCAGCCAATCGCCCCTCTATAGCATATTGGACCTTATATATTAATATTGCTATTCTTTTCTTAAGTGCTTTAATAAAAGCCAGACTCTCAAAACTATAAAGGTCGACAACACGTATTGGAACATTATATTGTTGCATTCCCTGTGAAAATGCGCCTCGGAATGAAACATCACCATCAGTCATTAATAATTTTGGCCATGTAAGGGGGTTAGAAGGATCTTCATAGATATCTTTAATCGCAATC